TTATATATATATATATATATATATATATATATATATAAACTATGAACCGTTAGCTGGCCGCATAGTTGACTTTAGAACTCACTGCTCCTGTTCACCCTGTGGTCTTATTCCCTCCGGTTCACACCGGGTACATTGCATTCAGGTGAATTCACATGCGGATCAGCGCAAGCCGCATATGACATTACCAATTGTGCGCGGATGCCCATCGACTTCGTTCAGTGTGATAAATGGACGCCAGCCCAATGTTAAACTCTCTCAGTCTTGACCGTTTTCACCTTTTGGAACACTTGATCGCGCGCGAACTACTATTAATGACCCATACTCGGAGATTCATAAGTGAGTTGTGGCATGGTGACACATTCACCAAAATCGACCCCTATTAATTAGTCATGTCACTAGAGAGGTACGATTACTGACCCTACATGTATCCAACTGATACTGCTCTGTAAGGCCATCTGAAACAAACCGGTGTACTGGATATCTTGTCTGTATGGCCTTTTGAGTACCTCAGGCAGCACGTACTGGGTATAACCCCTTGAAGTCGATTTCAATAAGTGGTAGTGAGCTTCGGTTACTAAACGCTTTTCATCTTCCCGTTTTCGTGATTACCGGTCATACCCGCCCTTTGTTTCCCTTGTTTTAGGTTGGCGGTCGGGCGCTGGTTCTCTTTCTCATTGTTATACCGCACAAGGAACTTCACACTGATTCTTCTGTGTTCTGGTTGTTTTTTGTTTGGAGTACCATCGAAGTGCAGCGGTATGTGTCTTGTGTTTCGCGGTTCTTTATTTTCTTTGGAAATTTAGGCGTTTTACCAGCAGTAAAACTGTTCTTGGATGTTGTTCAGATAAATGTGACTTGAGTGGTAAGAATTCTAGCCGGAATTAGGGTTTCACGAATTTGCTTCTAGTTTAAATTCTGTAGGCTGTCCGAACTGGGTAGTCTCTACACAATCAGACGTTATTTAGTGATGCTTCACTTGCACTGATTTTGCAACAGCCCGATTGTTACAATGACAATATTGTGCTAAATCATAGCTAGCTACTTCTGTCTTCGACTCATTAGAAAAGTATGACAGTGCTTTGCTAGCAACCCCAACAGCACGTGACCACCGGCGGTTTTCGTGTAGATGACGACAGTTCTTTCGTAGCGAATTTTCCCACCGCATGTGATGGGTGAACTATCGTATCCACAAAATGTGATAACGACATTTTTGATAAGTCAAACATCTTTCGGCGCAGATTCATCTTAGGGTTTTTTCTCGAATATTCTGCATGGACCGTGGAACTTCCTAGGAACCTTGATGTTCAATCTTTTCTCCGTTATAGCTACGCTTTCTACATTTGTTCACTGTTGGGATACAGAAACGGACTTCTCACCTACCTTCGATACACGTCGTGGATCCCCCTGTACCCGATTGGCTTCATGTGTGAAGGCAAGTTTTTTTCAACTTCCGTTTCCCATCATCATCGACAGCATGATATCAGTGTCCAACACTGGTGCTTCGCTGCCGTACAACTATGGTTTGTTTGAATACCTTATTGTGAAGGGAAGAATAACAGTGGACGGGAAAGGGACTTAGTGCTAGCTTAATTCAACCATTCGGCAGTTCCTACTTCCAGGCACTCATTCAGGACCGAAACTGATAACACGAACGCCATCATCATAGATTAATTACCATGTTTTGCAGCGTCTACAACCGAGCACAGTTGGGATCACGCAGTCCCCATCCTGGAAGGCGAGTAGCACCGACAGCACCAAAGCCTTTCGTACTCTCTTTCATGCCCCTCTGCCAGCTCAAGGGTTGGCCACCTCTCTGCCACTCATTCGCTTTTTGTTCGAATACCAGCCCGTTTTAGATTATGCGGTATTTAGATATCCGTTTAGAGTAGTTGGATGTGTGCGTATCGTTGCATGTTTACAAGACAACCGACTACAAAACTTCACAGAATGCCGCCACACAGAACGCTGGATCGTTTTCTTGTGATTGATTGTTGCGCTTACTGCTACCACATTTAAATCAGCTCGGTGCTTTCCGTTAGGGTTTACTGAGGTGAGCCCATCTGGATCACACCAGCAATGGCCTCTTTCGATCACTTGTAGTCGTATCATTTATTTCAATACAACAGTCCACCTGCGAGAAAATCGCTTCAAAAACTGCTCCTGAGGGTGCTTCTTATAATCGACATTTGTTTAAGGCTGTCCACCGACCTCCTTTCTAGCCTAATGACTTTTCGGTTGTCTAAGTATACTTTAATACGTTTATTTGTTATATGTTCCATGCTGTTAGCCGCCCAACAGAATTCAGGAAGAGCTCACTGAATTGATGGAGTGGTTTAGCAGCAGTTTTGCCGGTGAAAGCCGCTCAACGCGACCGCTGACCGATCGGCCTAGGTCAGTTATGGTGAAGTATTAGTATGCCGTTTTATTTTTAAGTATCTATGGGATCTATAGAATTCGTATTCACGTCACTGGTTTGAACGGTCTTATCCTAACGCAGTTGTTCTGGTCAGGTCACACGAATGCGGAGCGCTCGATTTGAAGCTCGCCCTTGTTACGTCTTATCCTTGACCGTGTCCGGATTTGCATGGTGGCAGTAATTAGCTCTAGCGTGAGCTACTGAATGAGTCTTGCTTTTCGATTTTCCCGTTTTATATTTGGATGGAATGGGTTGAAATAGACCAATCTACATGTCTGCATAGTTATCATACCGCAGTCTGGTGCTTTATTCTCACTAAGTAATTCGCTTAACTTAGTCTTTGGAAGAAAGGACTATCTGACTCCTCCAGAGGATGACTTTTATTCAGTGGAGCGCTGCAAGTTGGCGACAGATAGCAGCTTGTCAAGTCGCAATTTTCACTCCCTCTGGCAAACGATCTTTGTGAGTCGGTGGCCTCTAGGACACTAAATTGTGTTTTACCACTCTCGTCCACATATTTTAAAGGTACAGGAGTGAATAAACTTGGTAAACAAGCTTTTCTTACAAATCGTCCTGGAGCAAATTTGCCTTAAACCAGTTACGTGTGGAGCTCGGTGAAATCCTGTTGGTCAAGCAGCTGCCAATTTTAGCAAAAACCCGTCTGTGGCTGGGCACCAGGAGTTCACTCTGTTCTTTATCAAATAGCATGCTTTTCAGGTAGAACATGAAAATCTTCTATTTTTCATTTACACTCACCATCCCTCTCGTTTTCAGGCAAACTAATCGTCCGTGCCCTTCCTTGGTTAGCAAAATCACGACGATTTAGCTACTCCATGCCGAACGCGCTCAATATGGCTTTCGATTTCCCCCTATTCCTCCACACTTATTTAGTCGGAATGACAGCGGGTATGTTGGTTTCTTTTCTTTGTTCACCCTTTCCATTCCTTTCATTAACAAGTGGTTTTTTCACCCTGTCCTGTGTATGGGGTCAGAAAATTAGGATTGCCCCCAGCTACACTAGCCTCCCACACTTCTCACTAAGTTCCTCTACGAACACGAAAGCTATGCGATAGCTGGCATCTAACAGGCCTAGTCCGAGTATGCTTAGTGTCCCACGGCATAAAGCATCTTGGATCAGTTAGCTGCAGTGATCGCTCCGAAGTCCAAGGTTTACTGGAAACGCCACATACTGAACTTCCTCCCGGATGCACGGCGGTGCTCATTTTAATTATTGTTTACGTCTCCCGAAGGTACCGCTTCTAATGCTTTGTATGACCCGCTTTGTTAAGCTTGTGAGTTAGAGAGATTCCGCTTATTGCGAATTCGGCTTTTAGGTTATCCCGAGAATCAGATCCAGGCATGATTCGAATAGAAGTGAGTGCTTCAAAAAGATCGACGTTTAGTGATAGGGCCTCACTTTCGATAGCCAGTGACTATGTTAACAATTGAACTCCAGGGTTGTTTACTGCTTCCGGAATTTAGGGCAATATTCCAGCCCTTGTGGGCTGGCTACAGATGAAAGTTATCTTTTGTCCAATCAGACCTACAACTGTCTGGTGACGGGCCATAAACCGCAAACAAGGAACGACTTGACAGGTTCGCATGGAAATTATCGACATGAATATCGGTCACGTTTGAGGATATAGTCGGGTGAAGAAAGCTCATCCAGAGACTGAGAGATGTACCAGCGCCAGCGCAACCCGCTGCGAAAGCTTTAGAATCTCTTGGTGTTATAGATAGGGATGTCGTATGTTCGGTCTTGTATTTGCAGCAGACTTCCAGGTATAATTTACCTAATGTGCGCTGGACCCGCATATTCTCCTAGTCCTCAGGAAACCAAACGATAGAAGCTGCGGTGGTATGTGGTGTTACACAAACCTTTACCTCACAGTAAGGTGTCTCAGTGATAACATTTCTTTCATCCCTTGTTTGTAATAGATGATCATAGATGATCGACGATGTCCTTTGTAGCCATTTCTGCTTATCAGATACCAAAAGCTCATCAACCGAACGACCTTCCGGCGCATATTTCAAGTTATTTATCGTCGGATACTGGTTCACGAATTTAGGTCAGTAGAGAGGCAAACCGCGGCTATCGTAAAATCAATACAGTAAGTTCAGCCTCGAGCAATCGGAGGCACTGAATACCCTTCATTTGATTCATGAAAACGGTAAAAGATTGCGGGATGTTACTTTCTCAGGCAATTACTTACGGTTGCTACTTGCTCACAACACGCCGTAATTTACGAAGTTACATACTCACGAATGCAGAGATCAAAAGTTGTTAACACATCGGAAGCTGCTCTAGTTACCTCTGGGTGACCAAGAGTTTGCTGACCCTGGCTTGCAGTACGCGGTAAGCTGCGAATCGCACAGGGTCTACCGACTTACCTGGTGTGAAAAGTCCAAGTAAACTTTCTGTCATCTGCACGTGCGGTTCTTTACGGTTTCTATTTAGATTACTGCAGTTTTATAGGATGCTCAGCTTCATGTGATTGGCTTTTAAAATGAATAGCATTATGATTTTACATTTGAGCTTGTTCTATTCGCGATGGTTAGATCGCTGGCGAAAGGTATCTGTTTCCGGTAGTCATCAGGCTGTATACCGTACTCAGTTTAACTGCTCATGTTTGTAATCACCCATCAATGTCCTCGCTACTGGAAGCCCATTATTTTGAGTATTTTCACTCAGGCTATGGTGCACTATGTTGTTAAGAAGCAAGTTACATCTCCGGCTCCAGTTTTTTGCACCTAAACATAGCTGTTCACAGAGAAACCTAGCTAGAATGTTGTGCGAACATGGAACTTCCCTTGTACGGACACTTTCGCACCGCCAGTTTGAGCCCTTAAGCTAACTTAATGCGGGCGAGATGGCTCAGTGGTTATGGAGCAAATTTACTGACCGGAAGGCCCGTGGTCGTGGTTCGAACCCCTGCATATCGACTTCCCCTGTCTATGCTTGGGCAACCTGGCAGTGTCCCCACCCTCATGCTTCCTTCGGGTGGCATGGCATGGAGTCACCAAAAGGGTGCTACAGCTGAACGATGACTTAATGCTCCATTTTTAGAGTGAGAAGAAGAGGAAATAGTTGGTACGCTATCCCACCTACTTGATGACATCCCATGTGACGATTCTTTTGCGAATACGACACTGCGGCTGCGCACGAAGATTGCAAACCTTGAGCTAATAACACCTCAATATGACAGCCACCTCTCTAGCTTAGGAGACAATGCTCCCTATGGTCATCAGTTTTTTTCAAGCCATCTCCTGTGCAGATCCCCGAACAACCTTTATACGAGCACATAGTGCAATGGACTCGACCTACCCAGCAGTTTCACACCGATTTATTAGGTAGCACCCTGTTATCCTGAGAATAATATCAAAGACTACATTTGCATCCACTCCTTGTGCTCTTTTTTCACCCGTATGATCCTTGTTTCCGATTCGTTCGTTATCGTACCTCAACAATGATTAGATTGCTGTTCTGTGAATTACTGTCCTCCGCTCTACAACGTTCCTATTTACAGTCTCTAGGTGATTTACGGACATCCAGACCGAAGATAGCAGCATCGAGGAGAAACACCTTGAACATTGATTTCGCTTTATTAGTATCTCTGAGCTCTAGTTCGATTAGTTCGCTTCAAACTAGTTCCTCTCTGCGGCTGAATAGATGAGGTACCAAACGACACGTGAATAATATCATCTGTCGTTGAAAATTTATTCCGAATTTCTGTCACAAAACCGTTCCAGTAGTTGGAATTTACATTTAGCGTTTGGTTTTTGAAGCGCGTCTTCCATTGGTTCAATTAACCTAGGATTTTATAATTTGTCAGCTTTCTGATTGCTCCAACACATCCTCATCTCCCGTTACATATGTCCAGATCCCTCTGGGGGTCAATCGACCAATATTGTTCTATCGCATACTCCATCTGACGTCTTTGTTTGTCCCACCACAGTTTTTTATTTCCTGATGCGATACATGTATGGTCAACGCCGTCGCGTCCTCGGTCCACGTCCTCGAGTTGGGGCTGATCAGATGGGCTTTTTCTCCTATATTCCGTTCCTTCGGTCCATGGTCGGTTCAAAATCGTCCGCGTCGCCAAAACCACGCGTGAGTTCCGCTAGGAGATACGACCGTCTGACGAGTTCACCAGAGCTGCGCGAATCATACTGAAAACTACTCGTCTCATTTTTCGTGGGTACCTTTCCCGCAGCCATATGCATCAATTCTGGAGACTAATCGAAACAATGTGTGCCCAACCTGTATATCATGTCTCCTCCAAGCTTTTTGTGATATCTCGTTTGTTTTCCAGTATCAGAAATATTGATCATTGTATTCACCGGAACTCCAAAGCTAGACTGTCGGTCAGGGTTACACTTTTTTGTGCGGACGCCGTTAGTTTTTAGTACAATCAGGACATTACCAACCCTCCTAGTAGCAATATATGCCTAGTCTATTTCTAAATCCTTGGCCCACCTGTAGGCGTTTCAACTAAAGTCTATCCGCGATGCATTCCACCGTGTCAATGTACAAACATTTACCAACCAACCGCCAATATAGTAGCAGACAGATTGCTGCTTCCTAAATTTCATGATAACGTCGATGATTTACTCCGATCCACACTTTCGAGAACTAGTTTGACAATCAAAGTGAAGATAAAACGTTCTCGTGAGCAGTTAGGCAGTTCGTGTTATACTATGGGGGTTGGTCGATTGCACAACATCCTTCGTTCCCCTATAAACGAGTACACAAAGTTCATCAGTGGTTAGCGGGGTCATTTTTAACAAAGTTATGGTGGGTACGTTTGAACTTGCTGCGACTTTTGGTATTCAAAACTATCTTCTCAAAGCAGCCGGTAAATAACTGAAGCCCATAGCGTGATAGTTATGGAGTCTTCCGCGAATATCGATGACTATTCGGGTAGAAAATCCGATTAATAACCAGTAGTCCAACCTACTCGGTGGTTGGTTATATCGTGAACCTACAATCATCCTGAATGTCACTTGATGAACTTCAGTTTTCTACTGGATCTGAGAGCGGTACGGACAATTCTAGGGTGATAGAAGTTTATGAATCTACTTCAAGAATGCCTAGTATTGGAACAGCTGAGAAATGTAGGTCCCACTCTCCTTTGGCGGTCGTCGTGAACGATGGCAGAACGACAATCAGCCTTAAGGCCGAGCATTCTGCTTTTGTCTTCACACTAAACTCACTTGATAGAAGGTGGGGTGGGTGGGATTACTACAAAGTTTCTCAGGAACTGCAAAAGAAAACTGATCTGTACAAATTTGCACAAATTTGAAGGCGATCTGACTAATTATTGTAATTTAACCAGTATTTCTGAAACAGTGGAAGGAGTAGTTAGACAGGGTGATGTGTCAAACTGAACTTGACACCCCAAGCCTCATGCGCTTAGGCAGGCGCTTAACTCACACTTCGTGCAATAGCTGAGCGTCTATTGTGCTCTACCGTGCATGTGTTCTGCACATTATGTAGAAGAATATCAATATGCCATTGATTATTCGGGACTCATTTGGGTCTCCACTTCCAGGACTTTTATCCGGTATATGGACTGGCAAGGAAACATTCGGGCATATCGTTATTCAAGTCAGGAACCGACTATCTCAGCTTCCGACAACTGCCTAGTAATATCAAATGGGACAAGATCTTGAGCGAACTCTGCGGAATTGAGAAATCGTCCCGTACTGCTTATATCAAGAACAAAAGAAACTTCACTGAATATTTTCGCAACGGAATCTCGGTAGTCTGTGTTGCATAAATGTGTAGTGGATACATAAATGTGGATACATCGAGTCCCAATCTCCAGAAATCCCGTCATCACCTTGCGGATTACTAATGGCTGGTTGTGCAGGCAAGCACAATCGAAATGTGATGAGCTATCGGATAAGTCCACTACTTCAGACCCCACAAATTTGTTGACTGTATATAGGAAGATAGATATTGATGAATGTTGGCATCAGGTGACTAAATGTGAGGCCTGTACAGCAAAACTCTATTTTAAGCTCTGGACGGCCTCGGTAACACCTGACGCCACCCATTTGACGTTTCATCGGCAGTCTTGCATTCTTTGGTGGATATAAAACGACGATTCACCGGTCTTCGTAATCAGCAATCGAACGATGCCACGGATATTTGGTACAGCAAGGATTTGTTCTGTCTGGTTGTATCACCTCAGCCTGCACGGTGTGTTCTAGGTACATTGGTGATGGGAAACAGAAGTTAAGCAAATCTTTTGGAATCGGATAGTATCAGGTAGACCGTCATTATTGTAGAGCCGTGAGATAGCATTACATCATGAAAATGATTGGGATTCGCTGGGAAAATGTTGCAGTACTCCACTACACAATTTTTCGGCAAGCAAAATAGATAGACGAGATTTGAAGGCCGTAGCGTGCCGTTAGTCTCTGAAGACATGCGGTTTCCCACTATAATGTTATATGACGAGACCGGTTGTGTTGTTTCTTGTGCATACGAAGCAATGAGAGTATTCTGTAGATGGGGGGGGGTACCCAGATGCATTGGTGTGTGTAATCACATTCCTCGGTCCATTTAAGCCGTAGGTTAGATAGGTATATATGACAGCATTTGTTTCATGAAAACGACTAGCGAATGTGGGTTCAGGCTTAGGTTTTGTCTCGTTATCATTCATGGATCTGTTTGAACAGGCTAGACGCGCTCCAGTTGTAACCTGCTTTGGAAAATAAACTGTTAGACGGTTGTATTGTCACTTATCCTGTCACTGATTTTGCATAGCTCAGACGCAGAGGGTACTGTTTCGTCTGTGAGCACGTTAAATAATGTTGGTTAAATCTAGGCACGGCTCATTCGTTGCTGCGAATCCTAGATGTGGCCATATCACAGCATGCTCCTCGAGATAAGAGTCCATCGGTTACCACCTGGTTGCAGACGTCACTCTCAGTTCGACTGATGTGTGCCTCACGGTCGGTTTTCCTCGAATACCATCACTCCTAAATCAGTTGAGTTTCTATGCCATTCATCTGAATGCATCATTAAACGTTATTTTTAAGGAAGGAGTGAACAGCGCTGCACCTGCAGAAGGATGGCCACTGTATTGCAGTGTGAATTATGGCAACTCATTCTTACTCACACTGATATTAGTAGCTAAAAGTGCGATAAGGAATAAGTACAGCAGATAGTCCCATTTGTGCCATTAAACCGAGGGCTCCAGGTAGATCCCAGAGGGGTCTCTTTGTACCGAAGGTCGTCTCAGGGAATCTGCATGGCTCTAAGCGCTGTATTTTCTCCATCGAGAAAAATTTGAGCCTTGAACTGGTCCCCGAAGGACGTGTCGATGACTTGTTTTTTATTTGGTTCGTCAAAAAATTGCGTTCACACACTTGTGCGTTCAGTGTTTGGGAACGTATTCCAATGTAAATGACAACAGTGCATGAAGATACTCGTTTCTGCAAATCAGTCGGTCTCATTGACGAAGTTTTGTCACGGTCAAAGAGTGCGAACATGCGTGCATGTTATCTTCGGTACTGATAAATTAGTAGTTTTTGTTCAGGGCCATAGGGATCTTCACATATAAATAAGCACAGGGACTGCTTCAATAACTTTGTATGCACATTCCCGTCGGCTTAGCAATCCTCCTCTCTTGTCCTAACTTAATACATGTCATGGTGGGACGCCAGCCAAGACTGTATCATAACAGCGGATATCCTTGGGTGTATCTGAATCGGCGTTCCGGGCGCCCAGCCTTCGCGACAAGTTTGTTAGTCCTAATATACTGCCGTACACTGGACGCATCTGACTTGCCACGTCCGTGCAGACGAACGAGTGACTAGATTGCTGGAATCCTGGTACGTGCGTCAGAAATTCCCGGTCAGATGGTGTCACGGAAACCTGAAACATGTCAGATAACTTTGGTTATTGTGATTTAGTCACTGGACGTGTGGATTTGTATTAACGTTCGATTAACCTGTACTAGGGTCGAAGGAAATGATGGTTACATGCTCGTTTCATCCTTCAAAAGTTTGAATTTTGACATGTCAGGGGGTGTTCAATAGAAGGGGGTGGCGTAGGTGGAGATTATACCAGTACGGTATATGCTTACTCTTAGTCGGACGAAGAATCCTGATTGAGAATACTGATACTGGTGCAACCAGGATAGTTGCTACCAAACTCGCTCTAGTCGTGTATCTTTCTGGTAACAGATAGTACACAAATTTTGCAATTCGCCGAACGTTTTTGTGTTTGAGCCGTAGCAGAATAAACATCCCTCTGAGGCTTTTCTCGCGTTATTAATCTGGAAAATGTGAATTTTTTAGGTGTCGTCCTCTGGTCTGTATGAAGCAGGCCCAATTAAAGCCAACTTGGATAATCGTTTTCCTGTATCCCCCTTCGGTGCACAGCTGCCATGCAACCCGAAGGAAGCATGAGGACGAGGAGACTGCCAGGTTGTCCAAGCCTAGACAGGGGAAGTCGAGATGCATAGGTCGGGTTCGAACTACGGACCTTCCGGTCGGTAAATTCGAGCTGTAGCCACTGAGCCATCTCGCCCATCTCATCTGTATATAGTCGATAGGTTAGCGTAGACAAATTAAGAGATACTAGCCAGCGAGAAAAGTATCACTGCAAGTTTGTCTTAGCACACTGAGATGAGATCCCATACACAAGAAAACGCTGTTTAGGGCTGTCAAACCGCTTATTGCTTGATGAAGAGGATTGTGTACTAGATAAGAAATATCATCGCGAGGATTCTTTGCTCGTCACCAGTTACCTCACTGATGTATTTGAAAAGGGATTTTCTAATTCCATGTATGTTAAGGACACCTATAATTTGACGCGTCTGGTAAAACAGCGAATTTCGAAAATTTATTCTCGACACAACAGTCTGCACGTTTCGCGTATGATGCCAACAATGATGTTTCACCGAGCGGAGATGATGATGGCGAAGGCAAACAACGTTTTTTAAAGAGGATGTCATCTGTCTGTCGTTTTGCCTATCAGTGGCCTGTCTTAAAAACTCAGCAGACGAAATATAAATGCCACTCAAGCGGAAACTTCCTCTGACGTGATACCGTGCGGCTTGAACTTGGTTGCTTTCCCTTCATGCGCGGTGAAAAATAATCACTGAATTTTATGAGTGCGGAATTTAGCATGGAGAAGAGTATCGTAGGTCTGATTGACAGTTACGCATACGCTCCCAGAAGCACCGAATTTTGGCAGCGTTGTGAAAACTGAACAATTACTGTGGCAGGTGGAATTCAGGAAAAATAATGTCTGTTAAATGCGTGAAACCATTTATTGGGATATCCAAATCCCTCATCAACAGTTAGCGATGTCAGCTTTACACTCCTGCCCAGTCGCACCTTGAACAACTACGAACTTGCATTGAAGCAGTTCGCTTGTTCGTACCTGGTAGTGGAATCAGATCGTGACAATAAAACTGCGTAAATCTGACATCTAACAGTGTGCATTAGTCTCCACTATACCTGCTACATGCGCTTAATGTTCAGCTTAATTCGGTTTGCCCATTAAGCCCATTATCGTGTAGTGTTTATGCACTATAGTACGGAAACGGAGCCGACTAGTTGCAGAACGAATGCATTAACCTGTCACAGTGCAAGATGAGAGGAACATTCGCAGCTCTACTATTTACATTCTGGTTTGCCTAGTACGCTAAGCTGTTTCATAGGCAAGGCGTGAACTTATGTTTCTCATGATGTCAAAAGATTTGACGATAAAGGGTATTTTTCGAATCAGTGATTATTGAGAAACTCTGGAATCAGTAAAACCGTTACATTTGTTGTAAGAGCATCATCAGAACTTCTGAAGGACTGCTGGTAACAGAGGATTATGTTTTCACTAGGCTGATGCTCTTTTGCGGAACTAATATTAAAAATTCATCACCTAAAGTAGTTTAAGAACGGGAACTAGCCGTCTTTTATGACTGTGAATTTTTACTAAAGTTAAATCATTTCACGGATCTACTTTCACGCTTTTCGCTGTTTCTTGGTCCTAAAGGTTCGGGGCAATTTAACCACAAATCTTGCGATGAGGTATCGCATCATCGACTTTCGGTGGAGCATACTGCTGAATCAGTAAATTATTCCACCTATTTGGTATGGGTTAGGTATACAAATTGGCGCCCGACCATCCTTGATATCAAACTAGAATATCTGTAGTTCAAATTCAACTCTGACGTCTGGACTGCTCCTAGTCAGTCATGGGCGACCTAACAGTATCTCATCGCTGGTGTCTCCCTCAGATGGCACGATAGCTGTGGCCCGAAGTCGTGTTGCAACTGTGCATCTGGATACAGGACGTTGAAGTGGCCACATACCGGAATGATATCGAAGCATTTCACAGTATCGAAGTAAATCAGTTTTTAAGGTTATTACCTCATGCTGCTGTTGTGAGTTGAATGGGACTTCGGAAGATTACTTCTGTTGACTGTTAAACATCGCAATGACCAGGTGCAGTGGTAACTGTGCTTATTTCGCTGACGGAATCACCCAAAAGCGGTTGCTGCAGAGGGGGCATCGCCCATAATATTTTGATTTGTCTCTTTTCCGCGTTATACACTTGTTTCATTGTGATATTTATGTTCACTCTTTCTAACTACTAAAGACGTCTGATTTAATCGACGTAATACACTACTCATAAGGTTGCTGAAGATTCTTCGACATCCCACGACCGGTTCCGTCCCTCGCGGTAATCGTCAGGTAGGCACAGTCCCCGAATTTCCGTCAACCTTATGTTCTACTTGAAAAAAACTATATGGAATTAGCGAAACACACTCATTTACAAACAAATTGGTTTTGCGAGAGACTCACGTGGAACCTAACTGAATCTCATTTTGGCGGTGCGACGGAAATCAGGTTCAGGAAAAGAGACACGAACACGCATGAATAAGCAGGTCAACTGCGCACATTCACGCATACACACATGATAATATACCGGTATCGGACTGGGTGGCCTTTGCGGCAAGGTGAGTGGCAGGTACAGATGAGTAAATCAAGTGGAAATCAAAAGTAAATGAACGGGGTTAGCAAATGAAAGGGGGGAATTATCATGAAATCAAGTTAGACCCGATAGCAAAGATAGTTGATCAGTCGATGACGTTTGTTGGTTTGCTTTATGTGCCTGTATTCGTACAGGCTGCTGTAATCCATTCGGATTTGATGTACTGTTGAGCGCACTCGGACCGAGTGCTGTAACAAATGCTTACAAAACAATTTCACGCCATATTAGTTAGTTTCGGTACAGAAATCATAAAGTCACATGAATCGATTCGGGATTCCAACTGTCAGAGATATGACTTCTCTTATGCGACTATTTCAGCAGGCAAATACTGTAGCACTAAGCAGTTTGCTTCATAGGAGACTTCGGTCTTCAGATTCCTGGTTAAAGCATCTGGTGCACTCCAATAACACAACAAAACCAAACATTTAAAATGACAAAAACTCTACAATTCACTTTACCAACGATCTAGGCCCGTTCCTAAACGATAAAAATATTTGTTCTCCGCTAAAAGAAAAGAGAAATCCTGGTTACTTACTCCAAACATAAGCGCCCCATATAATTCGCGCTATTTAGTTAACTAGTGAGAACGTTCAGAATAAAATTACAACTTCGTGACTTCGACTCAACTTGTGATCCAGAAGGTTCGGCCGCTCTTTTGAGTTTTAGTGAGATGAACTTTGATCCCAGAATCCCCAAGATATTCAGAAAGAAGCAAAATGTACGGCTTTCACAACTGCATGTGCGTGTACAAAGTAAAGCGCTGTTTAGGAGGAAGCGAGATCAATCTTTCCTTGAAATCTTTGTCTACTGACCGGGATTTAAAGAACATCTGGTACAAAATACCAACCTCGTCTCCAAGCCGACATTCCTCCTCTAAGGACTCGTTTTCAACCAACTTATTTGACTTACAATTTGTTCAAAGACCTCCTGACTTCTTATCAAATAGTACTAGGCCGACCAAAGTATCGGCGCACAAACCTATTGTCCTTTGGTGACTCCTTACTTACCGAGGTATGGTAATCAGAATACTACTCCGAAAACTATCGAATTTCATGGTTAGGATAAGGTAAACCCGGTTTTCAACTCCGCGCTAATTTCTGCTGGCGTCTAAGAAGGACTGCAATGAACACAAATATCCCAAAACTTATGTCTTCCAACTGCGCTAAGGAAATCGACAAAAAGGTCTGTGAATTGAACGCAGGACTAGATCGGACTAGTCAAATCGACCAACCAAAAGGGATTTCAACTAGACAAGACCTCCATACATAGATGTTTCAGATGAGACACTCACCAGCGGGGGTCCGGGGTTGCTGTCTTCGTTTATTAACCTTTCTGCGTGCTGTACTAAAATGTCAACTACATAATCGATAAGATCAGTCACTACTTTTTTGAAAAAAAATGCTTATAAGTTCAATCTTGCCAAAAAATCTACCGGGGAAGGCAGTTCCTAGACCGCTCTACATACCGCGCGTTTGGATATGAATTAACGTTCTAAACCCTCGCCACGATTAGCGCAATTTTAGTAGGGGAAACTAAACTCCACACGCTCCAGTAATTTTGAATATTGGAGTATCACTCTGTTTCATTGAACCGAAACCAACCACAGAAGTATTCATGCGTCAAAAGCTCTTTTCAGACATAAAGTAGGGTTATGGAGCAGGCTGAATTCACTAGCTGCATACCGCTTCATCTATAAAAATTCTCAATCCGGATCAGAATGTCGATTAATCAACCAAGCATCGAGTTGATAACACTTCGTAACGCACAAGGCGAAAAAGCTTTTCGCGCGCTAGGTTACGTAGTTACGCTGCGGAACATCATCTGTGAATTTGTTCCGAATTCGCTCGAAAATTAACATCGTAAATATCCTTAATCAATTCAGGACTTGTCGGATTTTTGTCTCAAGGACATTTGGAGCGTTCGGAACGTTAATTCAGATTTTCGCTTGAATTAACTGATGCAATCATTTAACCTGCAAAAGAATGTTGATTTATTTTTGAGTTGGCACGCATTCGAATTGTAAGAGTGATTCTGCTTTTTGTACAGTTTGATTATGTAGATGAAAATCAAGTAGTTAATCCGAGCCGCTAATGTTCTAACGTTAACCTCCACTTTTCGCGTGATCTTGTCCGCGTACTTTTCGAACCACCTGGCTTAAAATGTTTACCGACAAGGCTTTTTGGTTTGCTATAAGCATGCTATAAATAAAACTGGGCAAGAAAATTAAAAAGAATATTTATATATTTGTTGCCTAATTCGTCTGTAGACTAGGATGCAATTTCTGAAAAAAAAACTGTCTAGCTCAATGAGTAGACTAGACTTTCTGGCTGTATCACGACGGAGAACCCAAGCTAAACGAACGACTCAAACGTTCTCTGGGGAGCTCAGCTAGCGTTTGGGTTGCTACTGCTATGATTTCCCTTTTGTATTCGACTTGAAATCCTTGGATACTTGGATCGATGGGTCCAACGCATAAACGCATAAAGGAGTGAACTGACGTGAACACTACTATA